TGCGTTTCTTCGAAAACCTTGGCTCTTGAGGAAAGTTTAACCTCTATATGGTGGACACCTCCATATAGTGGACACTTTTGAAAAGTCCGAAGGGTGTCCACTATAGAGAGGTTTCACTGTAGTTAATAACACAAAGGCAAGAAGCTCATAGGTAGAGGCATTACAGCTTGTGATTTTTTTCATATGGGAAAAAGTTATTTTTTCGAAACATTTCCAGGCTCAAAAATTTTCAAAAATTTCCCCAGATCTAAAAAATTTCCCCCACCGCGCGGTGCCGCACACGGGTAGATTCTGCACCTCTGGCTAAAATTCTGCTAAACTGGTCATAACTTCAGATGGAAGGCCCAAGGGAACGTACCCGTTTGTGGTTTTTCATACTTCACTGGGATCTACTTAATACATAGAGTCCGAACTCGAAAACGATTTATCACTTGAGGAGCTTCCCTTGTTAGTATAATAAAAAAACTAAACCATTGGTCAATAATCCAATTAATTTCCCTAAACCTTAATTCAAGTTTGAATTTGTTATTTGATAGAATATGCCATCATCTATCTTCAGTGGGTGCGCAAAGATGCACGTTTCTATATTTCTAGTTCATCAAGTTTCGAATAGATAAATAAACAGCATACGTACACCAACTTTAGGTTTTAAATTGACCATGTTATTTTTAAGTGAGTTCTTTGCGTCTTTCTTAGGAATTCAATATATGAAAAAAAAACATGCATAGGTTCTTTTGTAAGACGTACACCTGGACAAAAATCTTTCCCCTTTTTGTCTTGTGATCATGTCAAATTTTGCATTAAATTTATGACTAAATAGATAATATGACACGAAAGTAGTATTTCGTTTTGATGTACAGATCTCACTGTAATAAAACTCTCATGTCAGATCTTTGCTCAGTAATAAATTTGATGTTAAGTATGACAGCATAAAAAGATAAAGGGAAAAAAGACTTTTGGTCCGAGGGGGTTAAATGATTTGTTTTATATTTTTATTATTTTCCCATTCGTAACAATTCATCTAGTGATACCATCTTTCTAAGTTTCGCCCCAGACAGATCCCAGTGAAAAAATTCAAGGATTAAAAGCAGTTAAAATTTCAAAATTCTTTGGACCTAATCTGAAATTGAAAATTCAATTTTTCTGAAACAAAATCAAGATTTTAACCGATTAAACTTACAATTGCTGTCAATTGATTAGAAGGTTCTAATAACCGATTGGTACTGATTATAATTTTGATTATAAGCGATTAAAATCTTGATTTATTTTTACAAAAATTCAATTATCGATTTCGATTATTCCCAAAGGATTTTGAAGTTTTAATTGATTTTCATCAACTGCATGCATATGTGTACCTTTTTCTATGTAATACTTCTGTGTATATAAAATGGTTTTTGTAGTTCGTATTCTCACAGGTTTACTCATCTCATGTGTGTCTCCTATTTACGAAGATAACCAGTTTCACTTCATTAGCACTTTTTGGAATCGATAAAATATGATTCATGTTTTGGATGAACGTGCTATTGATAAAGAACAATTTTAGCCAGGTATTTTTGATCTACAAAATGCTTTGCAAAGGGTACTAATATTTTTCATGATTATTTATATCGCGTTTGTTCTAGAACTTTGTCGTTCTGCCGTAGTATTGATAGCAACAAATATTCCGCCCAATATGCCTCATATTAATCTAAATCATCTAGTTTCGGATAGATCTTACTAATATTCTTGAACATATTGGAAATCGATTGAACAGATTAGAACCTATCAGCGATTAAAATCAAATCACAACCCTCAGAATCATTGATAATCCAATGCGAATACCAGAATGTCTTTTCTTCTTTATTGCGGTTTAAAGCAGTTGAACAGATTACAATCGATGAACGATGAAAATCTGGTTAGAGGCGAAATAATCAAGAATAATTGGTTAAGTAGGTTATTGTTTCATCTGATTTATTGATTTTGATCAATTTGAATCGGATTTTCTGCGAAAAGTAGATGGTTCGTCGAAAAAAGTGGTATTATTACACTGATAATCAAAAATAATCTTAATTTTCTGATGAATATTTTTCACTGGGATAATGTTAGTGAAAGTGAATAATTTTCGTAGTAAGAGCTAACAAATGTTACAGCACATACTATGAATATCGAGAAATTTAAGTTTTACACAGAAGTTCAAAAAATATGAAATACTCGAAAACTTATTTTTATACGTTTCAGGACATTTTACATAACGATTTCAAACTGATACCTAAATAAAAAAGTAAAAAAAGGAACTGTTTCTTCTATATAGGCATTTACTTATATACGTAATACTGTTAATTGAGCTTGAATGCTATTTGTGACTAATGCTGACCGATCAGATCATAAACGACCGGTATTATCGAAAGAAAAAATGCAACCGTAGAATCAATTCTCATGAGCGATTATATGAGATTCTAAAAGTTTTAGATTATCAAGTATGTTTTAATTTGTCCCTCTTATATACAAACTATAGTTCTTCTAACTTATATCCATCACTCGCTTACTAAACCTTTTTATAATTCGTTATTAAGACGAGTTTTTTCCAAGTAATCAATTCCTAAAACACATTTTTTTCTAAAGGCATTTAACATTTACATATATGTGTGCTTCACTGTAACCAAACAGTGAGCTTTTCCTTAAAAGTCTTAAGTTTTTACATTTAGGTAGTTCGCACCCTTATTATATTTTGTTTGTAAGGATTCAAAAGTTGGAAACAATTTATTGATGATAAACCGGACCAAGTTCTTGAAGAATAATTAATTCATGGCAGATTTAAATGATACATAGTTAATAACTGAATTAACTATATGAAAAAAATGCTATTATAATAGAATAACTACTTTTATCGTATTAATTTGCAGTTCTCGAAAGCCGAAAACCTCATTTTTCAGGAATCTTTGAACTAAGAGAAGCTGAGTAAGCGCAGATGATCATTATGAAGTGTCAGCTATACGTACACAAAATATTAACTTAACAGCTACAATCATCATAGGAACCACTCCTGCTTTCCTTTTCCTGTTCATTGTGTGAGATGTGGGTGTCGGCGAGTGTTGAACTTAAAGTTGTAAACAATACTTATCAGATGCACTATGTTTACATACAAAGTTAAAAAAATTCTCATGATCAATTATTAATTGAACTAGAACATAGAATTTTATAATACATCGATATTGATGTTTTTTTTTCAAAGTGAAAACTTTTAGACAATTGACTTGGATGATGATCTCAGAAGACATCTCTTATATATCATCTTGAATATATAAAAACTCGAAAATAAGAAATTTTATTATAAAGACAATCGTTCACACCAGTACATATGCGTTTGATATGGTACTAATAGTTCTGTTTTTCCGAGCGTTTCTGGATGTCGATTTATCATCGTTATCACTTCTTCTAAAACGATTCGTTTGTCATCATCCGGCAAGCACGATATGAAACTACTTGAAAGAATACGATCAAGTAAATTTTCAATAGTAACATATTGCTCATGACGCACTTGTTGAAACACGAGGGGTGAAAATTTATCTGATTTACTTGTAAAAGCATCCAACCATTTCATTGTTTGATAGTGTGGGTGTCCTAGTGGTTGCCATTGATCGATAATTTTATTCATCATATCCATCCATGTACACATATCTACGTCTCGTAAATTCCAAAAAAGATACAATTTACCATTCGGCTTGAGTATACGATAAATTTCCTTTAGGGCTTTTTGTCCATTGAACCAGTGAAAAGCTTGAGCAACCGTAACAATATCAACACTTGCATCTTCTAATGGAATATCTTCTGCAATGCTGTCCATTACGGATATGTCTGGAATTGAATATAATTTTTCACGCATACTAGTAACAGGTTCAATAGCAATGATTTCTTTTGCACCGATTAATGATAATAATCTTGTTAATTTGCCAGTTCCAGCAGCCAAATCAACTATGATTTTACTTTGCATATCTGTGTTTGTTGAACATATAAGATCTATTACAGCAAGTGGATAATCAGGACGACTTCTTTCATATGCATCGCTACCATTTTCAAATCCATTGGCAGCTGTTCGATGAATAAATTTTGACATTGAGAAAAAAAAACAGTGACAAGCTTATAATAGTATACAATTCACGGATAATATATTGAATTGAATTCACATATTAGTCCATAGGTTTCTCGTTACTATTATATACTCTCTCCCTCTCTCTCGATCTTCATTTTCATTTCCGTCATGACATCTATGAGTAATTGATTGCTAATGTTGATCTATTTTTGTTCTTGAGTTTTATTAGATAGAACTATAGCGTCACTTTTTGAGAATGACTGTTTAATTACCTTACGTGCATGACAAAGTAGATTAGTAAGTGAAAAGATCAAAAGAAAATAGAACTAACGTAGGTAGATAGAAATTACGTATATAATTTTTGTACAATCTTTCTAAGCACTTACTACCTTTCCACTTACTTACCTTCTTTCTTTCTGTTCTCTATAGCAATGAGTCAAGTAATGTAATTTTAATTTCAGCTCATTGATTTGATATTTCAGTGTTAGAATATATGTGGTGAGTCAAGTCAGAAGAGAAGTCAATTTTTTTGTCATGGACACTGACCAAAATAGAAACTATTAATTGTAAAATAGCATAGTCAGGTAAGAGTATAAATATAAAGAGAAATAGAACTGTTTTCAATTGACCTTTTTTTTATTACCTTCAAACAAACAAAAATAAGTGTGAGCACAGTAGATACAAAATCAATTTTCCCGTATCAAAGTAAGAAATATATGAATTACAACAGAAATTTAGTAATTGCCTTTCGTCGACTCAGATCTTGATAATATGACGTGTTTGTTTCTCTTTTCTTTTTATCTTCACAATTACCAGTTCAGATAGTTCGATTGTGTCGAGTCTTTAAAACAAATAGTATCTGACAACATCTACATTTGATGGCAATGACATTTTGAATCTTTCAGCAATTGTGCAATTGAAAAAAGGTTGCGCTTTCAGGATTTAGGTCAGCATTGAAATTGACTGAGGATAAGTAAATCGGTTCTGTACGGCCGATAATACTGGTATTGGATATCATACCTCCCGCTCATAAAAATCGGCGGAAACCTAATGAAGTTGTTTTTTTGGAGAATCGATTTCGCGGAAGAGTTTCCCTTCTGAATTCTGTCATTTTCGGACCCATCTCAGTCATTCCCTCAGAAGCTGTTCAATCGAAATCGCTTCTAACAACATAGACTTCTTTCTATTCACAATTTGGGTTGATTGACGACACAACTTGAAGGAACAGATTCATGATTTTATGTATCAAACCATTTATCTTATGCATAAACGCTTAGTTTTTTTTTGGCCGACTTGTCTCATTTGTTTTCGATTAAATTTTAGAAATTTTTCAATCAGTTGCTTGCTAAAATGGTCAGAATCGTCCCATCGACAGTGGTAACGATTGAAGATGATCGATCACCTAATCAGAAGGACGACTTGCCTGATCCGTTGCCTAGCCAATTATCAGCAGAACTTGTTATAAAAACAGCACAGCTGATGAAAACATTGAAACCGCTCAATTTTTCTTTTTTTCGCTGGAATCTGTTGTGGCTATTCGTCATTTGGGTATTCATCACACTTCCGATCTGGATTCGATATGCCACATCATGTTGGACATCTTTTCATGTCATATTAGCAATTTTATGCTGGTTTGATCTCTTGTGGATTTTTTCTCTCTTATTTTCTCTTCGTCATTTAATTGTAATGCGACGAGGAATTCAAACTGATTATCGATTGAAATATTCAGCAGCTTCGCCAAAATTGTTTCATATAGTTTTGATGACCATTTACCAGGACGATATGAACGTAGTTTTTAACTCAATTGATTCTTTGTCTCGACAAACTGAAGCAAAACGAATCATTATGGTCATTGCATATGAATCGCGTACGCCGGATCGTGAACAACGCCAAGCTAGTTTGGAAGAAAGATATAGAAATTCTTTCGCTAATTTACTATTTACCATTCATCCAGTTCTTGATCACGAAATTGCATCTCATGCAGCGAACTGTAACTGGTCATTGAGAGAGGTCGTCAAATTATTGTTTATCGACGAAGGTCATACCAATGCCAAAGAATTTACAGTTACAACAACCGATTGTGATTGTCTTTTCCACGAGAAGTATTTTGAAGCATTATCAGCCGATTATTTACAAATGTTAGAAAAAAACGATTGGTATGCACATCATACAATATGGCAACCACCTCTTTTTTATAACTGGAATTTAGATAAATCTTCATTCATAACAAGAGTTACTGGTTTAGTACGATCAATAATGACAATGGGCATGTTGATTCCATATAATATCAATCCTATGTCAACGTTTTCATTTTCATTAACACTTGCAATAAGAAGCGAGTACTGGCATCCTCAAATGTTTGTTGATGATGTTGGATTTCTTATAACATCGATGTCAGCTACAGGAGAACGGATAAGAGTTCGTGGTTTGCCTGTACCCGTTCGATCTGGACCAACATCAGGAGAAACATGGTCGAAGGATATTAAAGAATGGTTCATACAAGTTCGAAGATGGGGTCTAGGTATATCAACATTTTTCTCGTTTGTTAATTTATGTAATTCATTTCGGATGTACATATAAAGTAATAGACTTTTTCTTCTACACACTATTTGGTTATTCTCCAGAGAGAAATCGTTCTTGCTTCTAAAAAGGTATTTGCGATATTCGAAGAATGTATTTTCGGACCGATACTACAGAAGAAACAACAACAAAATCAAAATGAATGAAGGCAAGGAAAATAAAGAACCATCTCACTTCCCAGTTTTTTATTGAGTGTTACAGAAGTATAGTTAAAAAATATCATAAGAATCTCTTAGCTAGTTATCTGAGTGAACTAGGATAATTATTTAATTCTCATTAATATTAATGACAATATTCATTTAGGTATTGCTGATAATTTCCATTATTTTATTGTCAAAATTAGAAAATATCCAATTCATGGTGCTATTCTATTTTTGTGCAATTATTTTCTATATTATGGTGTTGTTCTCTGCTCATCCGGCATATTCAACGTTATCTCTGCGTTTTACCCATTGATGTGTCCTAAACCACAAGTTGGATGGGTTTCTCATATTCATACAAATAATTATACAGCCAGCGCCGGTGATATTCTGCTTTTCTTTGGATTGATCGTTCCTTACTTTTTATTTGGATGCATGTTTATCCTTGATTCGATATGGTGTCGATTTATTCTCTATGTCAAAGAAGATATATTTATAGTGAGGAATTTTCTACACTATATTATAGCAGGACCAGTTGTTGTCGCATACTGCTTTGTTTATTTTTGGGCATATCACATTTTAGCTATTCGCGGAAAAGGTGTATGTGTTCATCGAGTGGCTGGAAAAGCAAACTTAGGCGAAACGATTGCTAAAATTAATGCATCGGTTCATTGAACTTCTTCTAATTCAATGCCTAACGCCAAAGACACTTAAAATAAAATGAACTGATCTAAAGAGTAAAAGGTCAAATCGGCTTATTATATTCTTCTTTCCACTTCTCTTTGTATCTCTCATCTTGTTCATTTGTATCTACATCTATTCATCTTACTCTCTATCCCACTGTGTCCAAGTTTTTCTATTGCATCTATTCAATTGTTTTTATCCGACAAATTTTTAATAAATATCAAAAAGATTATTGAATCGAAATTTTTCGAGTTTTTTCAGTTAAAACTAATTACTCTATTATTCAATAGTTAATTTATCAATCCTTCGATATGATTTTTATTGAAAAAATTGATATCCTGTTTCACAATGCCATTCAAGATGTTCTTACAAAGTTGTTGACCTTCAATTCTTACTGTCAGACCAATACGAACATCCATGAATGACGAAGAATCGTAATTGAACTGGTACAATCAATATTAAGTACAACTGCTATCGTGACAGTTCTCCGAATGCATGACTTTTTGTTCTGTAGTCGTACTAATTATTTTGTCAAGAAGAAAGAGATTATTGAACATGAAATTGATATTTTACTCACCTTTTTATGCAGTCCAGTTGATAGTCACAGTTTTCTACACGATGTAAATCGAAATAATCGATTCAATCAAATCTTTGATTGTACGAGAACAAATATCCCATGTCATAGAAATCGCTAAAAAATTGCCGATTAATCGTCGATTTTTAATGATATTTTTAGTGATTATTACAGTGAGGGCCCAAAAAAGCATGCACTTTTTTATTTTTACACATAAACGAATAATAAGGATGTTCTAAAAGTTTTCTCTTATATCTAATTTTGTAGAGCTTTTTTCGCTGATCATTTTGGTAAACAAACTTTTTGATTTTCATTGAGTAATGACAATGTTATAGTCAAAATACTAAACACTGTAACATAAAGTAGGAAAAAAGTTTAGCATACTTTTAGTATTTGGCTAATTTTTACGTTATTTCACAACATCTGAAAGATGTTTTCTATACCATTCGATGCAGAATTTAATGGGCTACATTTTGGTAACAAGCATTTATACTTATATTGTAGTCAATTATTTAATTAATAGTTAATTAATAATTAATAATAATTAGAAATTAATTAATAAAATTTTGATTCGTTTTTAAATTCCAACTCCTTCATATGAAAGAGCATAAAAAACTGAATAAAAATCTATAATTACTATTTGGAAAACAACGAATTTAGTGAGGTTTTAGTGTGATTTTCAGAGTATGTTCAGTTGTAATTAGATATACTTAGGGGTACCCAAAAGTAGTGGCGGTCGCATCTCAATTTCGGATAGAAGGCTTGATGAAATTTTCTGTTTTTATGAGACGATAGAGAAAATGAAGCTCTATTTTTCTGTGCTATTTCATCCCTATTCAGCTGGTATCATAATAATGAAATTTCGATAAGAACT